TGAAGCAGGGCAAGCGCAGTTGAAACGCTGCCCATAGTGCAAGTCTTCCGATTTTCCACCCGGATGCATTTTGGTATCGCTCACAGCACCTTTTCAAGATTGCTTTTTTTTTCAGGCATCCAAAAGAACATTCAGCAAGAATTTGAAAACATGTACGTAAAGTGGCAAACGTCAAAACTGATTGCGAGATCGCCACTGTCTGCAATGGCACATCTTGGGATACGAAATAACTAATATCCGTCTCCGTAACGATAATCATTCTTGATCTGTAGTAGACTAGCATCTTCGATCGAATCAGAAGAGGCAATTCGATTTCGACGTAATAAAAGTTAAAATCACAAACCTGCACAGGCCATGCAGCAGCATCGGAAAGAGCACAAATCGTATGCCCTTCCATCTGTTTGGTGATTTCCCATAACATGTCGATTTCACTTTTTTTCGCTTTGCCATCAACAAACCGCCACATAATTTTGTTCAGCCAATTGCAGCCTTCTCTGCACGGCGTACACTAAAGCAGGATATCGAAAATACAGTCTTCCACTGCATGCACATATATGATTTGCGGTGCGCCACTAACCTGTCCACAAGTCTCGTGTTTGTAGAACATGGATAGGCGAGCAATGCACTTGACAATATCAGCCTGATAGATACCATATTTGCCCAGTACACTTCATTCGAACCTCAAAGAGCAGCAAGATGGAAACATACTTGTTTATTCATGACGATGACAGCAGCAGTTCCAAGACCCGATTTCACTTCAATCAAAGCGTCGAAGTCCATCAACACGTTATCGCAGATTTCCCTTCAAAGATGATGCTAATGATAATATACCAGCAAAAACAGATCAAACCAACTTGGGCAGGAGAGGGACGGAAGAGCCTCCAGGGATAATGGCTAAAAGATTATCCCATCCTCCGATAACTCCACCGCAGTGTCGCTCGATGAGCTCCTTCAGTGGAATAGACATCTCTTCTTCGACTGTACATGGATGATTGACATGTCCAGAGATGCAATACAGCTAAACTTTCTTATTCGTCGTTTGCACTCACAAGTAGCATATTCCTCACCTTAGTTCCACGGTTGCGCTCGCGTCCAAATGAGGCAAACCATTCCCCACCTCTTCGACAGATAGTCGGAGAAGCAG